GGCTGAGTGACACACAGAGAGAGGCAGAAACAGAGATAAAGAGATCTTCCATCTGCTGCCTCACTCCCTAATGGCCAAAAAGGCTGGGGCTGAGTCAGGCTGAAATTAGGAGCCTGGAACTGCATCTGGGCTTCTCATATGGGTGGAAAGTGCCAGGTACTTGGGCCATCTTTTGCTGCTTTCCCGGGGCATTAACAGGGAGCTGTATCAGAAGCCGAGGAACTGGGACTCCAACCGGCACCGCAATGTGGGATGCTGGCTTCACCGGAAGTGGCTTAACCCACTAGGCCACAATGTCAGCCCCCCAAATAAATTTAGTTTTAATTCTATTTTACATGAATTTTTTGAAGTATTCTAATATAGTGAACAGACTAAACCAAAATGAATTAGATTGTAATTTTCCCCTGTAATTAGTGCAGACTAGAAAAGACAAAATTAATATTGAGTATTGGCATTCAGTTGGATTCATCCCTTCAATTTGCCACCAACCCTTGTTCATTTAAAGCAGTGTTTCTCCATCAAGCTACACATTAGAATCATCTGAGGAGCTTTGAAAATTGCCTATACCTCTTCCCCAACCAAGAAACTTAGAATTGAGGGGATTTTCAGAACAGAAAGATAAGGGCCCAAAAGGTGGAGCAGGTGTCAAGGGCACAAGATTTAAGAAGGCGCTCACTCTCAGAATTCAACTCTGCGCCTGCACGGCCCTAAGAGGGTGCGCCTCTTTAAATCTGTGTACCTGCCTGGCTTCACCCTACTTGGGTCTGTTAGAAGACCCAGGATGGTGGCTGGTGCCATGGTGTAGTGGGTTAAGCCTCCTCCTGCGGTGCCGGCATCCTAATCCCATTTGGGTGCCAGCTGGAATTCCAGCTGCTCCACTTCCAATCCAGCTCCCTGCTATGGCCTGAGAAAGCAGAGCAGATGCTCCAAGTGCTTGGGTCCCTGCACCCGTGTGGGAGACCCGGAGGAAACTCCTGGCTCCTAGCTTCAGATCGGCCCAGCTCTGGCTGTTGCCACCATTCAGGGAGTGCATCAGCAGATAGATCTCTGCCTCTCTAATAAATCTTATTTAAAAAAAAAAAAAAAAAAAGGAAAGAAAGAACAAAGAAGACCCAGGTTGGTTCAGGTTGTGAAGGAGAACTTGCAGGGGACTCCTGAGCAGCCTTGGGTCCCTGCCGTATTTTTCCTTTAGAAGGAAATGTCAACTTGTCCCAGCAGTGAACATGAACTCCGGCCCATAGGCGCGAGTCAGGACGGGCTTTCCCAGGCCAGGCTTTGCTGAAATGTCAACTCGCAGCAGGCTCCGGTTTCCTGCAGACGGCCTCTCGTAAACATTCAAAAAGGCTTGGGAACCAGTTTTCTCAGTGAGGCTGGTGACGTTTGAGTAGCTCCTAATCCCTGGCCTCCTATAGGTTCTGTTTCCCACTCATGCATGGGTTTACATTTCAGCCAAACGCAAGGAGAGTGTTAGGTTTCCCTCGTTTGTGGGTTCTCACCCTCGCTCCTCCTCCCCCTTCTCTGATTTCTGCCCTTTCTTGTCAATGTTTTCCGTCCCCTCGCTGGCAGCCTGGTCAGACAGGCACATCATTAATTCCTGTCCCTTGGGACAGCTTGCCCGGCAGCGGCCAAGGCCAGCCCTGGGAGGCAACTCCAAGAGCCCAGCCGTGGCTTCCTTCCCTGGCCTCGGAGTTCCGTGATGTCATTAGCATTCTGCCCTGGCTGCGTCCCAGATCGCTGCCTGTATTAAAATGCTCGGGAGAGAAACTCTGTACTTTTCCAGTGCTGGGAAAAACATGGCAGGGTTGGTGGGAGCGCCTCGCGCAGCTGGAATCGACTACTTTCTATTGTGATAACTGTGCAGAGGAAGATTTGGAAGAGAAAATCCAAGGGAAGGGTCTGTTCAGGCAGCGTGTGTGGCAAGTTCCTGGTAATAGGATCGTGGGGTTGTTGGGGTGTCTCTCACACGGCTACACAGTCCCTGTTTAGTTCCATATAAATGGGATTTTTAAAAAGTGAAGTCATTGTAAGTGCACAGACTGCTACATAAAGGCGGCCTGGGGTGAGTCACTTGGTGCGGGAACTATCTTGGTGCAGTGCACAGCAGCCTTTCCCATGCCAACTCTGGTCTTTGCTATAAGGCAGAGGTTGTCACGGGCTGCTGCCTCTCCTAACGGCCGCAGCTGTCCTCACGCTCCCAAACCCGCCTGTGCGTGATGTTTTCCCAGGCACCTGCCTGGTGCCGTGGGGATTTTCAACCCAGAAAAGCATCCCCTTGGGTGTCCCTACCTGACTCCTCCCAGCCCACCTCTACAGGGGCATGAGTGGACACAAGTGGACAGCGGAAGAGAGTGCAGACTGCCGAGGGCAGCGCGGCCGGCATGGTGGTGTGGCGGTTAGAAGCATGTGCTCTGTGGCTCTGCTGGGTGATTCCTGAAGCCTCAGTATCCTCATCTGTAGAATGGGGTGATGACAATAGCACCAACTTTAGGGTTATTGTGATGGCTAAGAGAGGATGAGCAACGGGCACATAATAATTACTGGAAAAGCATTAGCCATCTTTAAAAAATTGTTTATTTTACAAGTTATTTGAAACGCAAAGAGACAGAGACAGACAAGATCTTCCCTCTGCTGGTTCACTCCCTAATGCCCACAAGTGCTGAGGCTGAGCCAGGCTGATGCCAGGAGCCAGGAGCTCAACCTGCGTCTAGCACTTGGGAGAGATGTGTGCCATCACTGTTCCTTCCCAGGGTGCACTTGGGCAGGGAGCTGGAATCAGATGTGGAGCTGGGACTCGAACCCAGGCACTCTGGTATTGGATGTCCCAAGGCATCGATACCACTGCAGCACACACCTGTGCATTGCTAGCTGTTGTGAACTGGCCTGGGCTAGTTAGGCTATAGCACAAACATATAGTCCCAGTTCCTCTCTGTTAGGCTATAGCACAAACAGGAAGACCCAGGGTGCTAACCTCCACCGAGAGCTGATGGTCTCTAACCTTATTCCCACTTCCCAGGGAAGGAACAAGAACCCAGAAAGGTGAAGCAATTTTCCTGCAGTCACACAACAGATAAGGGACAAAGCAGACATCTGAAGCTTGTCCTGTCTGCTCTCTCCTGCTGTGTCCTGGGCCAGAGCAAACTACAGCCGGAAGGAGACTCGTCACAGGTCAGTAGGTGTGTTTGGATTAATTCCACTTGGAGGGAGATTTGGATTTGGAAGTCAAGTTGGTTCAGGATGTGATTTAAAGACAGGAGGAGGAGGAAACTGCGTGCTGATATTCTGGATGCAAAGGAGAACAAGGCTGGGGGGGGGGGGTGCGGTAAACAGAAACAATGACAATGACAATAAACCCCCACCGGGTGTTAGGATTTAGGTATGAAAAATGCACCTCAGAGCCCTCAGCAAATCAGGATTCACTTGGCCCAGGAAGATCTGAGAGTTCACGAAATCCTAGCTCTCAGTGAGGTGGGCAGTGTCACCCAGTGGGGCGGGGGCAGCCGGACGCCCACCGCACAGAACGGTTGTCTTCTTACTTATTGACTTTCTCTGGTGGGGCCCTGGAGCCAGCGCCAAGTCTGTATTCTCTGTTCTCCTTAGTAGGCAGCTTTGGCCCATGAGTAGAAGCAGAAGTTGTTGGGTTAGACTTCCCCAGAGGCTGCTTTAAAAGGGTAAAGGCTGCTCCCATGGGGTTTTTCTTGCTGTTTCCCCTCCTTCCCGCTTCCTGCTCCTTGTCTGGAGCAGACAGGTCGCTAAGGCTCCAGTGCACTCCCGCCCGTGACCTTGAGACGGGAAGCCATGAGGTACAGATGGCAGCAGAAGGGCAGAGCGGGTCCATGATGGCCCCGGCCTGCAGTACCAGCCCTGGACCGCCTGCCTCCAGTCTTGTTTGGTTGAATGAAAGGAAAGCAACTCCTCTTCCTTGAGCCTGTGTTATTTCTGGCTATTGTTTTTTGCATCTCACTGCTACCATAAGGGCCTGAGGCTGTCAGGACGTGGTGCTGGGAGCTAACTCCCTAACCTACATTTGCAACCACAACCTTACAATGTTGGGGCAAGCCTGTGGTTCCGGGACAGCCGAATAACTTGAAATTCTAATCCCCTTCCTGGCAACTCTTTGGCCCCAGGATCCAGCACACAGGCCTGTACTCAGTGGCGCTCAGCAAGGGTGCACTCCTGCCCCTGAGTAATGGCACTCTCATTCATTTCCCCAGGGAACTGTGTGCCTGCGGGCTTCAGACGGTCCTTCCCTCTCAGATTTCTCCAGGCCAGCCTCAAGATGAGCCCTGTGAGAACCTGAAGGGTTTTGAAACACCAAGAGAAAGAAAAGAACACTTTGGAAATGACAGATTAAAAATTTAAAGAACTGGACCTAGAGCCTCATTTAATTAAGTAGGAGTTTTACTGGTTAGCAAAATAACCAATATAATTTTGTAAATAATTGAACCCATTCAGAAAGGTTGAGTGGCCCAGGTCCTCTCATAACCCCCACTATAGAACAGCTTGGTAAATATTTTTTTAATGCTTTATACCCGTAGAAACCACATTAAATATATAGGATCATCACAATGAGTTCATGAGGTACCTACCAGGCTACCTCAGAAATTCCATAGAAAAATAACATTAAAAGGCCAGCACTGTGGTGTAGCAGGTTAAAGCCCCGGCCTACAGCACTGGCATCCCATACGGGTGTTGGTTTGAGTCCCAGCTGTTCCACTTCTGATCCAGCTCCCAGGTAATGCGCCTGGGAAAGCAGTAGAAGATGGCCCAAGTCCTTGGGGCCCTGCACCCACAGGGGAGACCTGGAAGAAGCTCCTGGCTCCTGGCTTCAGATCAGTTCAACTCCGGCTGCTGTGGCCCTTGGGGAGTGAATCAGCAGATGAAAGACCTCTCTCTCTCTGTAACTATCAAATAAATAAAATCTTAAAAAAAAAAAAAAAAAGCTTCTTTGAGTGCAAAAAAACTGAAATCCATGCACAGTTTTTGTGTCATACACATTTTCCATGAACTTTTTGAAGGCTCCTTAATATGTATGTATTTCAAAAATGTTTTGTATCAAAATAAACATCTTTTAATCCCATTATCTCACAAACTTTTTGAAGCAAGCTTGTATATATTATTTTGCAACTTTTTTTTTTTCACTTAACATCCTATCTTGGACAGTTCCCTGCATTTGTGCATTTACATATTTACTTGTTTCTATTTAAGGGGGCAGACCAGCCTTGTGCCCCTCCCCTCCCCCACCCCCTTTCTCCAGTGCCGGATGTAGCCTTGACCTCTGCTTAGTAAGGAGCCCTCAGGTGTTCGCCTGGGGTGGTTGATGAGGACAGCAGAGATTAACCGCAGTGGCCCTCGCCCTGCAGTACTGGAACAGTCAGATGGAGCAGGCAAACTGACAGGGGTCCAGTTCTAGAAAGAAAAATATTCTGGGATCAGTGTTGCCGCTCCATGAAGCTCAGAGTAGGGCCTCTGAAGATGACCCCTGGGCACCTTCCTCACAGCTGCAGGTACTGTTGCTGCCCTTGGGGGAGGGGTGGGGAGGCCGCCTGAGAAGCAGGGATTGCTCCACAATCCCACAGAAAAGCAGGCTTTTGGTTGGCCATTGGAGGCACTCACTGTTCTGTACTCAGGTTCCAGGTATTGGAGAGGAAGTGATAAAAAAAAAAAAAAAAAACCACCCACAGGTGTGGCCTCTGCCCCAGGAGGGGTAGGTTAGATGGGGAGATAAATGATAGAAGCCTCAATCTCACGCTCCCCAACCCCATCAACAGCCAGGCAGCTGCTATCAGCATGGGCAGCCGACTGGCTCCACCAGGAAGACTCTGGGGAGGATGTGAGTCAGTCATCAGGCAGGGCTTTAAAAGGAGGAAGGAGGCCCAGAGGCCAGAGTGCAACTGGCCCCAGGGGTACAGACCTGGGGCAGAGGTGCAGGCTGTGTGGTGGAAGAAATCAGCAAGGGGATTAATTCAGGTCGGAAGGAGAGTTCCGGGTGGAATGCAAGAAGCCTGGGAAATGATGGACGAGGAGATTGGCTGGGATAGATTAGCAGCAGGGAGCAGCCAGTGCTTTGGGGCAGAGGCACCCCTGGGGGCAAGCCAGGCAGTCAGTAGCTGCACCTGCTGGGCCCCTGCAACTCCCCCAGGGAATTCCCCAGCCCCTGTCTGAGACAGATTGGGTAACATGCAGCCAGTATAGTTTCACTGGCAAAGTGGTTCAGGATTTTCTAGCCGTCTAGTTGACTCAACTAGAATGCCTCCCGCCAAGATGGCATTAAAAAGCTGGGCCTGGCTTCCGGGCCACGTGTTAGTACCCCTGAGCCAGAGACAGGAGGATCACCGGGGTCAGACAGCGTTGGGAAACGAGGGAGTTGCAGGCCCATGGGGAGCTTGGGGCTCTCAGCAGCAGCAGGATATGGTCAAGAAGTGACTGTGGGATCTGTGCTTGGGTGACACTAGGGAGTGAGATGCTGCACTGGGTCGGCCATTATCAGGAAACAGGAGTAATAATACATGGGTATAATTCTCCAAGAAGTTCACGGAGGTAGGCATTTGGTGCAGGGGTTAAGATGTCACCCGGGATGCCTGCATTCCCTATTGGAGTGTCTGGTTTGAACCCTGGCTCAGCACGGTTTCCAGCTTCCTGCTAATGTGTACCTTCAGGAGCAGCAGATGATGGCTCAAGTACTTAGACCCCTGCCACTACTCGGGAGATCTGCCTTGCGTTCTGAACTCCTGGCTTCGGCCTGGTCCCGCACTGCCTGTTGTGGTCATTTTGGGAGTAGATCAACAGATGCAAGTTCTCTCTCTCTCTCTCTCTCTCTCTGTTTCCCTCTCAAATAAAATGAAAATAAACAAAAAAACAAAAAAATTTCATGGAAAATGGAGATAAAAGACGTTTACTTTGGTGCAGAAACAATTCTGAAATTCGTAGTTTGTTCAAAATGTGCATTTTTCACACTTTTGAAAGACCCCACAAATGCATGGATTTCAGATTTTTTTTGCAGCAAAATGAACTTCTTTAATTTTCCATGAACTTTTTTTTTTTTTACAGCCCCTCACAAAACTGGACATCCTAATGATTCCTACTTAGAAGGCAGAAGGAATAAAATGAGACCAAACCCATAATTAATAAAGAAACAGAAGTCTCTCAGAAGAGCCGGGGAAGGGACCTCTTTGGATGTTCCTGTGGTTTGGACGGCGTTCTTATTTTTGTCTGGCTCCAGACATGGCTCTGGCGTAATCTTTTGTTTGGCTGCATCTCGGTCCCGCGTGGCGGCCTTGTCTGATGCTGGTGTTCTAGGGACATACTTCTGCACCAGAGGAACATGCCAGGGCCTGGATGTGAGTGCCAGCCTAGAGGCTGGCCCTCAGGGTAGCTTCGCTCTTTCTCAGTAACAAACTGAAGGCAGCCAGGAATCCTGCAGAGAAAAGACCCTGAAGGTTTGCTGGAGGCCTGGAGGGCTAGACAAGGCCAGGTGTGTCTGTTCTGAGGCCGCCCTCAGTCTGTGCGCACATTCAGCCAGTGCTTCTTAAATGGCTGACTGACACGCCCAGGCCCTGGGGAGCCGTGAGCTAGACCATCCTCGTGGTGATGTGCTGTAACTCGGCCGCTGGTTTAGGTCTGTGTGAGCTGGAAGGCCCTGCAAACCCACGATGTAATGCCATCCTTCTACCTGTCCATCAAAACGGCCCCTTTCTGGGATGTACCTGCTTCATCCAGAATCTAAAGGTGGGGATTTTTGGACGCTGGCCACCACCCTGCACCTCATTAAAGAGGCCAACATTGGGAGAAACTCTCTCTTCCTTCCTCCCACCCCCTCACCCTGCCATCCCACCCCCACGGACCACGGCTGCTCAGTCAGGAGCCTGGACTGCAATGAACACACCCACATCCATGTCAGTGGAGGGTGCATTTTAGGGAGGTATACAGACAGTATGAGTGCACACCACAGAAGGTGGTCTCAGAAAGCCCCAGGTGTTCCAGAGACAACAGAAGTCATTGACACAGGAGAGAATGGTCGGTAGGGGGCGCTTGGGGGAGGTGGTCAGGTCAATGCCGTGGGGGAGGGGGGTTCCACGGGGAGAGAACTTCCAAGCAGAGGAAGCAGGGAGTGCCAGGGCTTCTAGTGAGTCCACCTGCAGTGCCAGGAAGGAGAAATGGACGGAGGAGGTCACAGCGGGCGGTGAGTCTGCAATATCCCAGTGTCCTAGGAGGCCAACGGAAGACCTGAGTGGGAGTAGGCATCTCCCTGGGATGGCAGAGGCTTGCAGCCTGCTGTCCCCTCTCAGATTCCTAGGCCTGGGTCTTGGGTACGCCAGAAGTAGTCTGATTTTCTCCTCACTTGCTGAGACCAATCGTTGCCAGGAATGGAGTATTAGCATCCTAGCACCGCTACAACAAATGAGCACGACGTAGGAGCTTAAGCCAGCACAAATCTGTTCCTTGGTGGTGCTGTAGGTCAGAAACCCTGACATCAAGGTGTTGGAGGGCTGCACATGGAGGCCGTAGGGAAGTCTGCTTCTTCACCTGTCCCTGCCTCCAGAGGCCACCTAGGCTTGTGGGACCTTCTCTATCCTCAAAGTTGTCAGCCTGGGGCCAACGCTGTGGTGCAGTGGGTTAATCCCCCTCCTGTGGCACTGGCATCCCATATGGATGCCAGTTCGAGTCTTGGCTGTTCCACTTCTGATTCAGCTCTCTGCTATGGCCTGGAAAAGCAGTGGAAGATGGCTTAAATGCACCTGCATGGGAGACCAGGAAGAAGCTTCTGGCTCCTGGCTTTGGATCAGTTCAGCTCCAGCTGTTGTGGCCCTTTGAAGAGTAAGCTAGCAGACAGAAGACCTTTGTCTCTGTCTCTCCCTCTCACTGTCTGTAACTCTGTCAAATAAAATAAAATCTTAAGAAAAAGAAGAACACAAAAAAGCTGCCAGTCGTCCATCTCCAAGTCAATCCATCAGGTTGTCTCTGACCTGTGCTTCCATCATCTTACCTCATTTTCTAACTCTGAGCCTTGTAATCACTTTGGGTCCGCACAAGTAATTCAGGATAATCTCCCTATCTCAGGGTTTATAAATTAATTGTAGCTGTAAAGACCTTTTTCATGGATATAAGGCCACACAGTCATGGGTTTGGGGGACTGAGACTTGGGTACTGGCCAGGAGCCGTTCTACCATGGGGGGGTCACATGGAGAGTGAGAACTCAAATGTGTCCCAAGCCATTGTACTAATTAGATGTGTGTTTATTTTTTGGGTTCTTAAAAATATTTATTTTACTTATTGTGAAAGGCAGAGCTACAGAGAAAAGTAGAGACTGAGAGAGAGGTCTGGTTCACTCCAAATGGCCCCAATGACCAAGGCTGGGCCAGGCTGAAGCCAGGAGCCAGGAGCTTCTTTTGGGTCTCCCATGTTGGTGCAGGGGCCCAAGGAGTTGGGCCATGCTCCACTGCTTTCCCAGGTGCATTAGCTGGGAAAGTGGAGCAGCCGGGACTGGAACCGGCACCCATATGTGATGCTGGCGGTGCAGGCCTGGGCTTTAACCCCCTGAGCCAAAGTGCCAGCCCCTAGAAGTGCTGTTTAACACAGGGAGTCGCTTATTTACCTGTGAAAGTGACATGAATACTTGCTTCACCTACCTCAGAAGTAATTTTATCCATAAGGTGATGCAGCATACTTGGAAAAGTGTCATAAAACCTGAAGGATAATAATGATGCGTATGAAGCCTGTGAGACAGGAGCCCCCAAAGGGCTGTTATCTACTAACACAAAACAGTGAAGCTGAAACAGCCACGCTGGAGTCCTGCTCTCTGAAACATCTGCAGTGTGACCTTGGACAAGTAGCTTAGCCTTGGCGTTTCACTGTGTATAAAATTCCGAAGATGTTAACTTTCTCACCAAAGTGTCAGGGGGTTAAAATAGGTAACACAAGCAGGGATAATTTGTGAAATGGTACCCAAATGTTCTTTGTGAAGCATTCCATAGGCGGGTGTCTAAGTTTTCCTTACTGGATAGATGCACAACCTCTCCACGCCACAGGGGACGCCTATCAGACCTCGGCCAACAGGCTTTGAATCTCCAGTGTTTGCAGTAAGTGGAACACACACACACAAAGGAGGTGGTAAACAAGGGGCCTCTCCCATTCCTTCCCTCCTTGGCTACTGAGGGGCAAAGGGCAGCAAGAAGGACTCATAGCATCTAACATGGTTATTCAGAAAAATCAAAGACTGTTGCTGGCTGTCCATGGCCCTGGGTGTTGGAAGCATCTGAGGAGTGAACTAGGAGATGTGACATTCTCTCCCTCTCTCTCTGCCTTTCAAATAAACTAAAATAGCTAATTGTTAAAAAATATATTGTTTATTTAAGAGGTAGAGTCACAGAGAGGGGGAGAGACAAAGAGAAAGGTCTTTTATCCACTGGTTCACTCCCTAAATGGCAATAATGGCTGGAGCTGGACTGATCCAAATCCAGGAGCCAGAAGCTTCTTCCAGGTCTTCCACGCGGGTGCAGGGGCCCAAGCACTTGGGCCATCTTCCACTGCATTCTGAGGCCATTGGCAGAGAGCTGGATCAGAAGCGGAGCAGCCAGGACTCGAACTGGCACCCATAGGAGATGCTGGCACCACAGGCAGAGGCTTAGCCCACTGTGCCACAGCGCCAGCCCCATACATAGCCAAATTTTACAAAGAAAAATGGAAACTAGATCTGTTGAGAGTAGAGTAGCTTCTTGCAGTGGAGAGGTTTAGGAAGAGGCTGACTTTGTTTTGTAGCATCATCTCTGGTCATATTTAAGACATTAAAGGGACCGGCGCCATGGCTCACTTGGTTAATCCTCCGCCTGGGGTGCCGGCATCCCATATGGGTACCGGATTCTAGTCCCGGTTGCTCCTCTTCTAGTCCAGCTCTCTGCTGTGGCCCGGGAGGGCAGTGGAGGATGGCCCAAGTGTTGGGTGCCTGCACCCGCATGGGAGACCAGGAGAAGCACCTGGCTCCTGGCTTCGGATCAGCACAGCGCTGGCCGTAGCGGCCATTTGGGGGGTGAACCAACAGAAGAAAGACCTTTCTCTCTCTCTGTCTATAACTCTACCTGTCAAATAATAATAATAATAAAAGACATTAAAATACCTTGTTCGTGAACCACCCTGTTGATTTTTTCAGACTCTACTGTGTAGTCATGTGTGGGCAGGAAATATCTGCAGAGCCACAGATCTTATTCATTCATTTCTCAGCATATGGCTTCCAATTATGTGCTAGATGCCATCCTTGGTGCTGGGGACAGACACAGCGGAAGGCAGACTTCCCTGTCCTCGAGAAGCTTATTGTCTAGTTGAGAAGGTGACCACAAATCAAACACTCTCAACAACCCACACATGAATCTAAAATTATAGCTGAAACTCCTCAAGTCAAGGTTTGTGGTGCTATGGGAGCTCGCCACGGGGCCTGAACTCGGCCGCTGAAAAGAAACGGCTGAGCTGAGCTCTGAAGGCTGAGCAGGTGTATTTAAGGGAACAGCCTTCTAGGCCCTGAACAGCACGTGCAAAGCCGAAGATGAAGCATGGAACATTCCAAGAGGCGGCCAGTGAGTCTGGGCTCTGGAAGGGACAGACAGTGGCTGGGATACTGGCGAGGCGGGCAGGGAATTCTGACTACACAGGTCTGACTACGTGGCCAGGCACGGGACTAACCAGGTCAGGGCATGATGTTTCCCCCAGTTCAAGGTTTCCGTTAAGATTTTAAGGTTCCTTGGAGAATCCTATCATTGCATATTTATAGCCTGAAGGTCCTTTCAGTATCTAGTAAATGATCAACATGCTTCCCACAGGGTAAAAAGCACATTCAGTCTCCTTGTGGAGGTACATTTAGCATGCTCAGGTTGGTCCTGGGCCTCCATACCTGGCCCTGTAAGGATGCTCCCAGAGGGGACGCAAAGACCAGACTGGTACCATGGGAGGTCACCAACAGCAGCTCACGCCCCTCTCTGCTGCTTTCCCAGGCACCTCACACCCAGGGGCACACTGGATTCCCACAGAGTAGCTGTGCAATAGGGAGAGCCCCCAGACAGTGGGGAAATGGTGACTTGCCCCAGGGCCATAGTGATAAGGGGGGATCCTTGGTTCCAGATAAAAATGGTTCTCCCCACGGGCCACAGCTGAATCACATTTCCCACTGTCTTTGGTCCCCTTAAACAAATCACAGAACCCTAGCATCCTCAAAGTTGGAGGGGGCACTTTAACTTCCGTCAACTCGCTCAGCTCTATCCGCTGGCAACTGCAGGGCACTTGAATATTTTGAGAAGCAGAATATTTCCAAAAAAGACTGAAAGTGTGATTTTCCACTGAGGGAAGAGAGAAGCCATTAGTGTGGCCGCTCCTTGTGACTCACCCTTGGCTGTTAGCACCAGTGCTGTAACGGAAAGACGCTGTCCCGTCACTAATTTGCTGTGACCTTGGAAGGCAGACCATTTTACCTTAGGTACCCTCTGTTTTCTAGCTGCAAAATAAAAATGTAAAGGACTACAACTAATGCTGACAAGTTCATCCTACCTCATAGCAACACACACATGCACACACACACACACATGGGTGCACACAGAATTGAAATGAAAGTTCCAACAGTCTATACTAAGGTTTCTCTTGGAATGAATGCCATTTCCTATTCTATACATCAAAAAAGCTCTTTGTAACCCGGAAACATATCTGACCACTCACTAAAATCCGAAGTCCTCAGGTTGACCAGCACCAGCTGGACACTCTCTGGGACCTTCCAGCTGTGGATCTCTGGAAGTCCCTTGGGGCTTCTTCTAGGAACACAAATGTCCAGGCCTCCCCTTGCGTGGCAGATGCAGGCAAGACAAGGAGGCTGACATTATTAATCCTGGGGCCTCTCATATGCCTATCAGTTACATGGCCATTTCTCCCTGCTGGAGTCAAGAAAGCATCGAGGCCATTGTCGCACTCAATAGGCTAATCCTCTGCCTTCGGTGCCGGCACACCGGGTTCTAGTCTTGGTTGGGCGCCAGATTCTGTCCCGGTTGCCCCTCTTCCAGGCCAGCTCTCTGCTGTGGCCCGGGAGTGCAGTGGAGGATGGCCCAAGTGCTTGGGCCCTGCACCCCATGGGAGACCAGGATAAGTACCTGGCTCCTGGCTTCGGATCAGTGCGGTGCGCAGCGCGCCGGCCACAGCAGCCATTGGAGGGCGAACCAACAGAAGGAAGACCTTTCTCTCTGTCTCTCTCTGTCACTGTCCACTCTGCCTGTCAAACAAAAAAAAAAAAGCACTGAACACACCTTCTGATGGCAGTCAGCTTGAGGCTATGAGACAAAGGTCTACACTCACAGTCAATCTGTAGGTTAGAGAACCTGGCCAGTCTCTGCTAGTTCCCCCATGACCCCCACACATCACATATACCATGTACATATGTACCACATACCTCACCCGTGTACCTAGCCACATGTGATTATCCACCCACACTCACCACACATGCTACATACACAGATCCTCAGCATATCCCACACATGCACATAAATCACACATGCTCCATACCCACACCACATGCAGACCCATGCACGTAGACCTCACACCTGCTTTACACACACATAAAGAGGGGACCTAAAAAGTTCATGGGAGGTGGCATAGCAGGTTAAGCCTCTGCCTGTGGCGCTGGCATCCCACATGGGTGCCAATTCATGTCCCGGCTGCTCCTCTTCTGATCCAGCTCTCTGCTTACAGCCTGGAAAAGCAGTAGAAGATGGCCCACGTGCTTGGGCCCTGCACCCATGTGGGAGACCCTTCTCCTGAAGCTCCTGGACCTTGGCTTTGCATTGGCCCAGTTCCAGCCATTGCAGCCATTTGGGAAGTGAACCAGCAGATGGAAGACCTGTCTCTGTCTCTGTCTCTGCCTCTCTCTCTCTCTCTCTCTCTCTCTGTAACTCTGCCTCTCAAATAAATACAAAAATACCATGGGAAACGGAGCTTAAAAATGGAGTTTAAAAAAACTTGATTTTGATGCAAAAAAACTTTAAGTTCTTGCAGTTTTTTTTTTTTACAACATGTGGGAAAAAATCTGTATACTTTTTTAAACTCTCTCATATACACCACGTATTCATACTACATCCTCTGCATACCATACAACATGCACATGTGTACACACACACACACACACACACACACTCAACTCCTGCGAGTCTCAGAACTTGGCGGTTATAAAACAAGAATAAAATCTGGAGGTGAATGAATCAGAGAGAAATAATTTCATCTATGGTGTCTCCTCACTCCTACTAGACCAGAGTTCCAGAGAGTCCTTTTCAAGAGCTTGGAAAACGTGCATAAAAGTGTGCCAGTAATTCAGCAACGGCAGTGTTGAAACACTTTGCTTTTACATTTTTATTTATTTTTCTGAGAGACGCAGAGAGTTCCCATTCACTGGTTTGCTCCCCAAGTGCCCACAGCGTTCTGAGGAACTGAAACTGGGAGCCAGGAATTCATTCCAGGCCTCTCACTTGGGTGACAGGAACTCAAGCACTTGAGCTATCACAGTTATTTGCCAGGCTCCATAGCGTCAGGAGCCTAAACTGAGAATTGAACCTAGACACTGATATGGGATTCGGGCATCTTAAAAAGTATCTTAACCACTAGGTCAAAAGTTATCCCAAAGCACTTCGTTTTTTAAAAATTATACTCTATTAAAAAACATCACATAATACTAGGAGCAGGCATTTAGCTCAGCAGTTTAAGTGTCCACCTCCACTTTGGAGTGCCTGCACCTGACTCTGCTTGCAGCTGCTGACTCCAGCTTCCCGCCAATGCGGACTCTGGGAGGTAGTGGTGACGGCTCAAATGACTGGGTTCCTGCCACCCATAGGGAGACCTGGATTGAGCCCCTGGCCCCTGGCTTCGTCTCAGCCCAGCCCTGGCTGTTGCAGGAAAGTAGGATTGCTATTTTCTCTCTTTCTCTTTCACTGTCTCCCAAAAACATTTTAATAAGTAAAATAATATTACCATGATATTTCAATGATAATTTATTTAAATTTAATCAAACTCATTTTATGAGAGCTTATTTTTAATGCAATATTGCCTGCTAACACCTAGTTGTATATCGTATAGTTAATATTTATATCTTTATAAATATACACATTGGCTTCATGTTTTGAAACAGGTTTGTATTGTGTGCTGTGAATGTCTGCTTTTGAAAAGAAGTGCACGTGTTATCTCATGATGCTTTAAATGTTCTGAATACTGAATATTTAAAATCATCATAACACTGTCAATTCCAGTACTGCGTTAGTTAGTAAGTAAACGTCAGAACCCTGGAGTTGCCATTTGGCCGTGGAGTCACCATCACCTGCAGGGAGCCAGAGGAGACTCTCACTCCAGTGCTCCCCGTGATTCTGAAGCTGCCTTCAGGGCCTTGCACAGAGCTTGGCCTCTCACCAGCTCTCAGGAAGTGTCAGAGAGAGTGAGGAGGCAAGAGGAAGGGAGAAGAAAAAGAGAAAAAGGAGAGAGAGGGGGAAAGCAGAGGATGCAAGGGGGGAGAGAAGCCTGGTGGTGGAGTGGATAGAATGAGACAGACAAGGCATTCCTAGAGAAATGGAATTGAAAGATCATTTTATTGTGGTGTGAAAAAATTAGAATCCATGCATAATTTTTTCATACTAGTCACTTCCCATGAACATTTTGAAGCTATCTCATATGCATCGATTTATACATTTTTCTAGCTGAAAATAACACATTTTAATTCCATTCTCCATAGGCTTGTTGAAATACTCTCATACAATCATACCTTGTTTTTTTAATTTTTTTTAAATTTTTATTTGACAGATAGAGTTAGACAGTGAGAGAGACAGACGGAGAGAAAGGTCTTCCTTCCGTTGGTTCACTCCCCAAATGGCCGCTATGGCCGGCGCTGCACTGATCCGAAGCCAGGAGCCAAGTGCTTCTCCTGGTCTCCCATGGGGTGCAGGGCCCAAGCACTTGGGCCATCCTCCACTGCACTCCCGGGCCACAGCAGAGAGCTGGACTAGAAGAGGAGCAACCAGGACAGAATCCGGTGCCTATATGGGATGCCTGCGCCACAGGCAGAGGATTAACTAAGGGAACCACGGCACCGGCCCCCAATCATACCTTGTTTAACCGCACTTTTGCTTTATTGCACTTCTTAGATATCGCATTTTAAAAAATATTTATTTATTCTAAAGGCAGGGAGGTAGAGAGAGAGAGAGAGAGAGAGAGAGAGAGAGAGAGAGAGAGACATCCATCTTCCATGTACTGGTTCACTTCCCAAATAGCCATAACAGCCAGGGCTGAGTTAGGCCAATGCCAAGAGCTGGGAACTCCATTCAGGTCTCCCACAAGGTGGCAGGAACTCAAGTGCTTGAGCCATCATCCACTGCTTGTGGGAGCTGGATCAGAAGCACAGGAGCCAGGACTCAAACCACAGCTCTGATCTAGGGTGTGTGCACCCCAAGCAGCAGCTTAGCCTGCTAAGCCACAATGCCTTCTGCTCAGATACAGCTTTTTAATTTTTCCCCCAAATTGAAGGGTTGTGGCAACCCTGTGCTAAGCGAGCCCACGCACGCCATTTTTCCAGGAGCATGGGCTTGCTTCATGTCTTTGGGTCACATTTTGGTAACTGTTATGGTATTTCCCAGCTTTTCCTTATTGTGATATCTGCTATGGGGATCTATGATCAGGTAACCTTGGTGTTACTACTGTAATTGTTTTGGAGCATCACAAACCACATCCATGTAAGATGGTGAACTTGAGACCAGCACTGTGGCGCAGCAGGTTAAACTTCCGCCTGCAGTGCTGGCATCCCACATGGATGCTGGTTCAAGTCTCGGCTGCTGCACTTCTGATCTAGTTTCCTGCTAATGTGCCTAGGATAACAGTGGAGGAGGGCCCAAAGGCTTGGAGCTCTGAACCCACATGAAGACCCAGATGAAGCTCCTGGCTCCTGGCTTCAGATCAGCCCAGCTCTGGTCATGGTGGCCATTTGGGGAGTGAACTAGAGGATGGAAGACTTCTCCCTCTCTGCCTCTGTCTTTCCCTCTCTGTCTGCCTTTCAAATAAATAAATAAATCTTAAAAAACAAAAACAGTTACCTTAATCTATGAATGTGTGTGTTTTGACTGCTCCATTCACTGGCCACTTCCTACCCCTCTCCCTCTCAGGCCTTCCCACTCCTTGCAACACAACAATATTGAAATTAGGCCAATTAATAACCCTACTGTGTCCTACAAGTGTTCAAGTGAAAGTAAGAGTCCCACATCTTTCATTTTAACTCAAAAGCTAGATATGATTAAGCTTAGCGAGGAAGGCATGCCAAATAGTGGAAAGAGGTTGAAAGTTAGCTGTCTTGTGCCAGTTAGCCAAGGTGTGAATGCAAAGTAAAAATTCTTGAGAGAAATGAGAAGTGCTACACTAGGGAACACACAAATAATAAGAAAGCAAAATGGCCTTATTACTGATATGGAGAAAATTTTAGTGATCTGG